ACTCTGCTAATGTGAGTGCTGCTGCAGTGTTACCTCTTGCTGTTTCCTGAATGTCAGCAGATTTCAACTATAGGGGGAAAATGAAAAAGCAAAAGCTCTGTGTCCCTGGCTTATGAAACTTGAGTACCACCGGAACCTGACACACTGTTTGTTTTGGGGCTCTAAATTGCACAAGTTTCAGGATCAAGAAGTTCTTTAAAACCTGTTCCAACATTATGCAATGTGTGTCCTCAGGAATTGTTATTTGCAGGGCAGCAGAGCTGTAACTGGATCGTTGCAGCTCTTGAGGAGGTGCCATTTAAAGTCCTCACTATTTCCTGAAGGAGAAGACCAGAAGAGCACAATATAAATATTGCATTAAGCTGGGTGCACAGTGCTACCTTTATGCCTTACCTGTGTGCAAACAGGCACTGAGAGGCTAAAGACCTGGTGCCATTGCTCTTCTCTTTGAAAGGGATCTACCACTTGCCCCCAGGCTTGCAGACTCCACAGAGACAGTTGGACAACATGCTGTTGTATTCCCCTGTTCACCCCGCTCAACAGGGCAGACCACAAAGCAAGCTGGGTAGAAAATGGGCTTTATTTCTCAACAACTTTGCTGGTGCATTAAATTAAAAAAAAAAAACTGTTATTAAATACCTACTGGATGCAAACCACAGTACTGGACACCGAGGATAAAAGATAAAACAATTGTTGAGAAAAGCTGATAGTTTGTGATCAAAGAATCCTCATTCCACACAGTACTTCTTAATGCATCCATTAGTGCTCCACCAGCACTGTGCCCTTCCTCGGGTTTGAGACTGCCAAGTTTCCAGTTGACCATTTCAGACATAAAGACTTGGACACCAGCAAGACACAGGACAAAGCTTCTACTACAGCTTGACACACAGAGGGCCTTAGATTGAAAACTAGCCCTCATTCGTTTAAGCAGTTCCCTTCCCATTTCAGCAAATGGATGATTGATCCCCGAGCGAAACTGAGTTACCAATTAATTGGTCACTACTTACTGAATCGTTAGAACGTGTCAGTTATCTTCTGCTCCCCACAGCAATCTATAACACTTCAGCGAAGAAAAGCTTCTAATTCAATTGTGAAATTACACTTGCTTATATATCAAAATAAGTGCCTTCAACTAAAACATTTTTAATTATAAGGGCCAAATTTAACATCTCTAGCACTTTGCATTTATTAATTTAGTGCAATTTGAAATGCAGAAATAGTTGCTGATTATGAAATCAAGCACTGCCGGTGAGCGTGATTTCTCTCGATCTGTGAATGAAGACAGAAATGTGTGTGTCAACCAAGCAAGAAGCTCAGGCCGCCTGGGGAGGGTACCAGGCACGCGTGGAGGAGTTGTGAGAATCCCTAATGCCAACAGCCACGCGTGGGTGGTCCTGGCAAAGGAGGTATGACAGCTGCAGGCCAAGAGCTGGAAGGAAAACCTCAGGCATGGAGTGTCAGGTGAAGCGAGGGTTCTGCAAGAGCCTGTCACCTGCAACTGAAAATTACTTTAAAAAATCCTCCCATTTGAGGTTGGACCTACAGGATGCTTCTGGATTGAGTCATACTTGTCTTTGAGTTATCTGAATCCTGGGATGTATGGTGTACAGCTTTTTATGTGTCTTTCAGCATAATAAGTACTGAAGATGTTTTCTGAATGTGCTGGATTCAATGATAAGAGGTTTGCGTGAACTAATTTTCAATCTTTACAACAACTCTACAGTCTAGGTGCTGTTTCTGCAACTCCACTGTCTTACAGATGGAGGGAATGAAATTTGGGTGAGGTGCATTTCCAGACACACAAAGGTGTCAGAAATCTCATAAAGCAAGCAAGCACTGGCACCAGGATCTAATGCTGCCCTTGAAGCTGTGCACTGTTGCTTAACTTATAAATCGTCTTTGAAAGAGCATTCCCCAAAATTGTTGTGCAACCATGTGTACAGTGGCTCATATTTTAAAATATAACATCAGAGCAGGTGTTGAGCCTCGTACTAAGACACCCACCCATATCAGAGTAACTGAGTTCAGTTCCCAGCTCTAACTCCTGACTCTAGCAGGGCAGATCCTTGACTGGAACAGATAATGGCTCAGGGTACTGGGCTGCTGGCACCCGTGTGGACAAAGTAGATTAGGTTTCTGGTTCCTGGCTTCATCCCAGACCAGTTCTGGCTATTGTGGGTATTTTGAGAGTGAGCCAGTGGATGGAAGCTTTTTCTCTCTTTTGTTTTCCTCTCCCGCTTCTCTCTCTCCCTTACCCTCTCCCTCCACTCTAAAGTAAAAGACAACATTAAAGTTTTAAAAATGTAGTGTTAGCAGATCCGATGCCATGGCACTGCACACTAATCCTCTGCCTGCAGCACTGGCATTCCCATATAAGCACCGGTTTGTGTCCCAGCTGTTCCACTTGCGATCCAGCTCTCTGTTTATGGCCTGATAAAGCAGCTGAAATGTGCCAAGGCCTTAGGCCCCCTCACACACATGATACTGAGTCCTGGATCCCAGCTTCAGATCAGTTTAGCTCTGGCTATGTGACATTCTGGTAATTGAATCAATGGATGGAAGATCTCCCTCTTTATCTGTCATTCTCTCTCTTTCTCTCTTTAAAAATTTCCTTTTGAATAAATAAATATTGTTTTAAAAATCTAATGTCATTGCAGATTGTGCTGCTGTGAATATAGGACTATAGATCCCTTCCTCATATGCAGATTTCATTTCCTTTGGGAAAATTCTCAGAAATGGCATAACTGGGTCATAGGGCAGATCAGTTTTGAGTTCTCTTAGCACTCTCCATACTGACCTCCATAGTGGTTGTACTAGCCTACACTCACACCAGCAGTGAAGGAGGGTACCTTTCTCCCCACATCCACACCAGCAGGTGTTATTAATAGAGTTCTGAATGTAGGCCAGTCTCACTGGAGTTAGATGGATCCTCCATGTGGTTTTCATTTGCATTTCCCTAAAAGCTAGGGAGCCTGAGCATTTTTTCGTATGTCTAATAGCCATTTGAATTTGTTATTTTGAAAAATGTCTGGTTTGATCATTTCCTTCACCCATTTCTTCACCGGGTAGGTTAATTGGAAACAACCCAGATGCCTGTCAGAAGAGGAGTTCATATAGAAACTATGGTACATCTATTCCACGGAATACTACTCAAACATTAAAAAGAATATAATTCTACCTTTTGCAAACAAATGGTCCCAACTTGAGACCATTATGCTCAGTGAAATAAGTCAATCCCAAAAGAACAAATATCGTAAATAAGGCAAACTTCGTGCAAAGTACAAGACCAATAGCCCTTTCGATATTGTTTGTGCTACATTTCGAGGGGGAGGGGTTGCTATTTTTGTTTTTATTTTCATTCATTTTAAAAAGTTTTTTTCTTTTATTAAAGTTTCTTAACTGACTCAATAGGTCGCAAAATGATGTTTACTTCAAAAAGATCTTTGATTTTGTTTTTCATTTGTTCTACAACACATTGGTCATTCAGTAGCATATTATTTAACTTCATGTTCTTATAAGTTTTCTATTTATGGTCCTATTGTTGATTTTGTTTTATAGCTTTTCATTTAAGGGCATGTATAGTAGCCATGTAATGGAGATTGTCACATCCAAATATGAAGGTACAATGCATTACGCATCTCTGCTTCCAAATCAAAGATGGACTCTCAATGAAATTGTTAAATATATCTTGACAATAGGATGCTGGACTGTGTCATTGTCTGTACCTACAATGTCAGGATACACTTAAATAGCTAAGTGATGGACTTATGACTGTTTATGTAGGATTATACTATTTGTAATGATTGATATAGGGGAAATCAGTAGGGGGAGGGGATTTGGAAAGGGCTGAAGGGAAATCCCAGAGCCTATGAAACTCTATCATAAAATGAAATTAAAAATTTTTTTTTAGAAAATCACATGTCAAGAACTAGTGCTACCTTTATGCCAAAGGCTGAGATATTTAAGGTTTTATTTTTGTTGTGATGGCATCAGCTAAGGTTATGCATTTCTTTTATTTAATTAGTTATTATTTAAGAGAAAAAGAAGACAGAAAGAGCTCCTATGCTCTAGCTCACATCCTAAACGCCAGCAGTAGCTGAGGTTGGTACAGGCAAGAGTCAAAAGCCGAAAACTTAATCCATGTCTCCCAGTGGTTGGCAAGGAATCAAGTACTTAAGGCATCAGCAGCTGCCTTAGGGTGTGTTAGCAAGAAGCACAGGAGCAAAGCTAGGGCTGGAACTGAGATTCTTTCATATAGGATGTAGGTATCTTCATTGGCATCTCAACCACCAGCTCAAACATACATCTTGGGTATCCATGTATTGGGATTTCAGTGCAAATGGTGATAGTGGGTCTAGCTTTGTGACGTCACAGATTGGACCTCTCTGCAGAGCCAACCTCCGTAGGAGTGCCAGTTTGCGTCCTAGTTTGAGTCTGGACTGCTCCATTTCTGATCTAACTCCTTGCTAATGCTCCTGGAAAGGCAGCAGAGAATGGCCCACACACTTTGGCCCCTGCCACCTACATGGGAGACCCAGATAGGGTTCTGGGTTCCTGGGTTATGCCTGGCCACTGCCAGCCATTTGGGAAGTGAACCAGTGGATGAAAGATCCCTCCCTCCCTCTCTCCCTCCCTCTTTCCCTTCCTCCTTCCCTTTTTCTCACTTTCTCCCTCTTTCTCTCCCTGTCTTTTTCCCAGTCTTTCTGTTTCTCCCTCTCTCCATAATTCTGCCTAACAAATAAATAAAAATAAAACTTTTAAAAAGATGACGATAATAAGATGAGCCTCCATTCTAAAGATTGTATATGCATACACAGCAGTGCTTGGTGAAACCAGAGCCCTTTCAGTTTCTAGAAGCACATAAGCCTATCTGGGGCCATTTGTCTGCACGCTTGTCCTGGCCATTCCCCTGCAAGCTCTGAAAGGGCGCACTAAAAAGTTTCCGACCAGCTTGTTCGCATCTGGACTCCCATGAACTGTATGACTATATTTTATTCCAGACCCTCCTGAGAAATTCGTCAGACTGCGAAGCACGCAGCGATGAATATCGCACAGAGTTGACCACCGCTCTGCAGCGCGTGGACTTATTCACGGGCCAGTTCAACCAAGTCCTCTTAACATCCATCTCCACCTTCATCAAAGGCAACCTCACCATTGCTAACCTCGGGACCTCAGAAGGCCGCTTCATACAGGTGAGTGCTTGCGAGTGTGTTTGTTTTATCTCGTAGAGTACTAATTGTTTTTGTCTTTGCAGTAAGTTATTTCAAATATTTTAAAGTCTGAGTCACCACAGAGGTGAAAGACGCACACACACGGAGAGCCAAACAGCGACACCTTATCCACTTTTTATGAAATATGTGGCCTATTTGCGTTAACTTGGAGCTTAGAAAAGTTTGATGTGATTTGTTTAATTTTCTAGTCCAGAAATGTTTAGATTTTTTTTCCATTCATAAATGCTGTCACATGATTGGAAAGTAAAAATGAAACAATTATACAGTGCTTCTGGGCGATGTTTTCCTATTTCAAGGGAAGCTACAGATCAAAGGGAGCTATTGTGTAAACCGTGCGTCTCCGTAAGAAGAAACATTCACATCATTGAGAAATGCTGGCAGCCATTGGGATGGGAGGCTGTCATCAAACCCCCATTGTACTTCAGGCTCTCCTGATTCTGTAGAATGGTGGGGGTCATACACACAAAAAGTTCAAAAGCTTATTTTTTAAAAAACTGTATTTTTATTAAGAAATGCTTTCAACGGGTAGCAGCAACATTTCCATACAATGAACGTTGACATTTCTGACTTGATTGAAGTTCCATGTTTCCTAGATACAGGAATCATAGCACTTCACAGAAATTATAACTGCATTTTAGTGCTGGATTTATGTTACTGCTTTAATAGTCAGCAGTGCTTTCAACGTGAACTCATGATTAGATTCTTGATTAACCCAGAAAGGCCTTGATAGCTAAAGAAGCGCTGGATTTCTGTGAATACTAGAAACTTCCTTTAAAAGGGAGATTTTCATACAGTCATATGATAGGCTGGCATGGTGACCATTCCGTGACTTCAAGTACACGCACTAAGGATGGTGGGGTTTTCCTGTGTGCTGCCCATCTGTTCATCCTGTATCCATATCCTTTTTGCAAACTATATTTTAAAAACTCAACCACAGTCTGAATACAAGTCATTGCCATACTTTAAGAACCATAAATCATGTGTCTTTTGTATTTACGGGCTTGGTAGAATTTTTTTTTGCAAGTCATAAATAAAGTCTCCCTAACTAATCTTCTAGATCCTGTGACCAAAACTTTCCCACACTGGTTACCCTTCCTTCTGTGTTTCAGCACAGGCTCGGCCTCCCATTCCTTTCTCCCAGCCACCAGTGCTTATTATGTATGCGCCTCATCCATCTGGACCATTTAGTTCAAGTCTTACCCTCTCAAAGTTGAGAGAGAGATGCTCAGTCGTTTCTCATTAGACATGCACTGTGGCCAAAACCATTATCCTTGTAAAAAGGTGCTATTAATTAATTCTATGTGCTGTTGATTTACATTGATGGTGTTCTATAAAATCCCAAAGATCTCGAAGGAGCCTGAGGGAGGTTAGCATCTGTTTTGAATTCCTAACCTGTTCCAATACTATTGATTTGGTCTTCTGTATTATTTCTGATTTTTTTTTCCAAATTGCCCTCTACCTCACCAATACAGTTTCAAATAAATAAACTCTCTACAGTTACTTCATATCTGACACTTTTTTAATATGGAAGAATTTCTGGACTCTTTCAAGGTGCTAGAATTCCAATGAAACTCATTTTTTAAGTAGGTTGCTTGAATAAAGAATCCACACCCCAAGGGTATGTCGGGTATCAGTCTCATGCAACAAAGAAAAGATACAGCACATCGTCTATGTTTGTCTCCCACCATTTGTAGAATAAAAAGCTGTAAAAATAAATAGATGAGTATTTTATGAAAAGCACTGATGTCACTGATTAAAAAAAAACAACAGGTGACTGATTCATCAGCTATATCCTGGAAACCTACTGACTTTGCTTGTCGAGGCAAATGATTGAAGCCAAGAAAACAGTGGCACTGAACTTGCATTCAGGACCTACATTGTCCACAGGGGAGATCACCGGTGACTTTGTAGTAATAGCATGTACAGACAGTGGGCCGAGGGGACCCACAGAGCTGTTTCTCTGACAGTAGCCTGAGAGAATTCCACTAACTTTGATGTAGATAAGTCTAAAGCATTTGAAGAATTAGTCAACATCACTGAAATCGAATTTGTTTACAGCAAATAACAGTGGAAGAATAGGGAGGAATGGAGCAAAGATAGGGGTATGTATATTCAGCCTGAGCTGTCAGAGAAGGAATGCCCTACCAGGTTTTGGAAAGATTTTAACTGCGTGAAATGTTAAAACGCTGGCCTAGCCCAAGTTTCTGCAACTCGCATCTTCATAAATACTATGCAGTTTCTGCTACAAAATAGAATGGATATCATTTCCCCCTCCCCAAAGACAGCTGCCACACATGAAAAGGAACAGCAGAATCATTCTATTTCCTTCCTTCCCTGAACCCCAGTGGCAAGGTTGCTCTGCGAATTTTTCCTCCCAAGAGTTTGCAGCTGTTTCTGCCCTTCCTCTCATGCTTACCCTCAGTTCTCACTGGGAACCCAAGCCACAGCTGCAGCTGTTGGCTGCAAAGTGAATCAGGTATTTCACAGTGGTTAGTTGATTAGAAAGAATTATATTGTTTAGCTAACAATATCATGTGTGTGCAGAGAAGACATTTCTGACACATTGCTAACATTGAAACATGTGTGACTTATCTTGTACAGGTGCAACCGTGTCTAAGTACACTAAGATGTGGGTATATTTGAGTCTATATAGCTGCAGTACCACGATAGAGTTCCCAAACAGTGTGTTTTTGTGCGATGGCTCTCCTGGGCTGCTTTGATCAACACTGCTTGAGATAGCATCCATACACCAGGAGAACTGAGTTCTTACAAATTAGGGAGAGGGGAGGACTGTAGAAAGGAACATAGGAGCACTCATACATGGAGCATGGCTGTGGGGATGAGCGGTGGGGAAAGGATTCTCATGCAGATCACAGGCTAATCACAGGGATTGCCCATGTCTCCCCTTCCAAGCTCCTCGTCTAATCTATATCCAAAACAATGCTCACTGGGATTTTTTTTTTTCTTAAACCAGCACTTGTTTGAGGCCTTTAATCTCTAAATGCAAAGCATTGCTATTAAAATATTTGTGCATGACTGTCAGGCCAGGGCGAGGGAGGGAATCAGGAATGGGGGTGGGGTGCTGAGGCCCTTTCAAGATTTGTCTCGGGCTGAGCTCCACCGTCACTAGGCTGATGCTGTGTGCCCTGCACACGCCTGTCTTTGGTAGCCTTAGCCTGGGCACCCTTAAGGGTGCTGTTAGGCACTTGGAGTTCATGCTTATTCATGCTCTCTCCCCCGTTCTCCCCTCTCCCCCATCCCCATTACCACTAATCCCTTCTTTTCTGCCTCTGAACTACACCACCAAGCCTTGAGAAACTTGAAGAGGAGAGAATCACCTAGGTAAAGATCCTTGTTGATGAACATTGCCTGCAGGACTATGTTCATGACCAGGGAACTGAAAATAATAACACATCCAATCAAAAGAATCAATTTATTTGTTGACCTCTCAGTATCAAATTCTTTTTGTGCGTGTGCTGCTACTGTGGCAAATCTTGTAGGGAGAGCTTGTGACACACATGGCTGCCCTTGTGCAAGATGTAGTCACAGATGATGGAGACACCATGCTACCAGTATCAGGCAGGGACACAACCAGAGCAGTCTGGGACCACATAAGCCTTTTTCATAGGGGACTGCTATTTTAACAGTCTCCTTTTGACAATAGTCAGATAGAAGTATGCTAACTTTGGTATGCCATTTTAGGAGGAAATATGCTCATTAGTTCTTAATTTTTTTGTTTGTTTGACAAAGAACTTAACTATAAGCATTGATTGCAGGGTTATGCCCAAACTAAAACTTATGCCCGATTCATGTGTAATCTCTTGGAATGAATTGATGCATGCTATTAAGAAATACCTATATCTTGTTTTTAAAGAATTATTTATTTATTTGAAAGGCAGATTTACAGAAAAAGCAAGCTTCCATCTGCTGGTTCTTTCTCCCCATATGGCCAGAAGAGCCAGAGCAGGGCCTGTCTGAAGTCTGGAGTCAGGAGCTTCTTCCAGGTCTCTCATGTGAGTGCAGGGCCACATGACTTAGGTTATATTCCACTGGTTTCCCATGCCCATTAACAGGAAGCCAGATAGGAAACAAAGTAGCCATGACTCAAACATACAACCATAAGCATCATTAACATATGGAACCATGGACTTGTTTTTGGTTTTTGGAATAGCTGGGATGATTTTTTTTTTTGCATGGATTTTTTTTGGAAAGAACAGGAAGACATGCATGTAATATATGAAAAATACTTATTAATAGATTTTTAAAACCATCACTTCAGAAGCAGACAAACTGTTTATCTGCTTATAAGCTGGCTAATTATATAGCCAATACATTTGGAATATTGATTTAAATGTCTTAATTATATAAAATTTTTACAAGTTTTCTAGCTTATATTGTTTTGAGATTTTTTTCATTAATAAATATTTTAAAACTTTAACAAATTTTTCAATGTGATATTGATTTATTTTGCCTCACTTTTTATGCATTTCAAAAAGAGGAAATGAGTGCATTGGTACCTCTGATAAGGAGGAAGACTGTTTTGCCAGTTTGGTATATCAGGCATTTGTAGAGTGAAGTTCGTACGGAACTACCCATGGCCTCTTTACCAAAAAGAACAAAAGGAAGAAGGAAGTAAAGCATCATTTAATTCAGCTTTTACCACCCAGTCCTGTGTTTTACCACTGTTCTTTTTTGTTTAAAGATTTATTGTATTTACTTAAAACAGTGACAGAGAGAAAGAAAAAGAAAGCGAGAGAAATCTTCCACCTGCTAGTTTACTTCCCAAATGGTTGTTAACAGGCGTGGCTGGGCTAGGCAGCAGCCAGGAGCCAGAAACTCCATCTGAGTCTTCCACTACTTGGCCAGGTGAATGGAACAGCGAGGACTTGAACCAGTACATATATGGGATTCTGCCTCACAGACAGTGGCTCAGTCTGCACACAACCCCCCCACCCCCCGCA